ATTCTCTTTAGTCACGAATTCCATTGATAATTGTGACTAGAAAACGTTCTGGAATACATGATTCGTCCCCATGGTTGTGATATGAGTGCGCATTTAGTTATATTCATTGCATTATTAAGATTATTGTCTCCACGTCGCCTTTTTACTTTTTTTGGTATTCATTGTATAAGCATCATCAGTTTAGCATTCACTGAGTTTGTGGAATTTCGTTTTTTCATGATGGGATTTGTTGTTTCTTGGATAAGACTTCTGACATGTTTTACATTCAACTCTCTCATTGGCACGTTCCCGAATCATATCAGGATTATCTTGGTAATACTCTGATGTGGATCTACCGGGTCTGTTTTTATTCACGGTATCCAATTTTTCAATCCAGTACCGTTCTCTCCTCTTAAGCTCATCTTTATCAAACATTGATAGAGAGTCAATCTCAACAATTTCTACATGTCCGAGATCAAGCAGAATGAATGATGTCACAAAATTATGATTACCTTTTTGATATGCTCTGAAAGTGGATCTATGAAGATACATCCGAATTTTCAGTGGTAGACACGTGGAGCCAACGTATACCTGATCGGTATGTTTGCTCACTAGTTTGTAAATCTTACAAGGGGAACTCATCTTCACTGATAGAAAATCTTTGGAATTCTCATCGGTATACCTCTACGTAACAGGGTTCATATAATCGTTTATGATGACAATTCGGTGAAGAAAATAAAGATAGATAGACAAACATGAAAATGTATCATATAATCTCCCGTGGGACAGTTGGGTTTGGATACTCTCTCTCCAACATTCCACATTTCCGTGAAAATATTCTGGGGTGAGTTTGGAACTCACGAAAGATGATCAGGAGCATGACACGATCAACATCCACATATATACCAATAATCCACAGATTTTTATGTCATTGACAAAAGCAGAGCTTGACAAGATGGATAATGGAAATTTCAGACTTGTTTATGCTGAAAAGATTGATGAGAGCATGGAAGATCACTGTGAAAATATGGGATTGTTGGCACATCTTTGTATCCATGAGAAATAAAAAAGTAGATAGATAGATAAAGATGAATGTTCATTGCCTATCGTGTAAGAAAAAGCAACAGATGAGGGGAATACAAGGAGAAGTCACATCAACTGGTCAACCATATGTCAAGGGTAAATGCTCAGTATGTAGTCGATCATGTTCACAATTTATCAAGAAATCGGAAATCAGAGAAGGTGGATTCCTGTCCGGTTTGTTCAAGATGATAGGTTTAGGAGTAAAAAAAAGATAGATACGAAATGGACGGACGATCTGGCTGATGAGTCACATAAACCGAAACGTGTGAATTTCACAAGGAGACAAGTGACTGTGAGTGAGATTGATGAAATCTGGTCTGCCGATCTCGTGGACATGACAGCTTTTCGTAAATACAATGATGAAATCAAATTTCTGCTTACTGTCATTGATCTGTTCAGCCGATATGCTTGGGTTGTCCCACTCCAATCCAAGAAAGGTGTTGACATCCAATCAGCATTTCGATCCATCGTGAAAACTAGCAGCAGGAAACCACGTAAGCTGTGGGTTGATCAGGGTACCGAGTTCTATATTGGAACGTTCAAACACTGGCTTGATGAGAATCAGATCACGATGTACAGCACTCACAACGAAGGAAAGGCTGTTGTAGTTGAGCGTTTCAACCGAACTCTGAAAACCAGGATGTGGAAATACTTCAGTGCTAACTCCACCAGCAGGTACATCGATGTCCTTCCACATTTGGTAGAGAAGTACAACACGACAAAACACAGAGGTGTTCGGATGACACCAACTGATCATCACGGGAGAAGAACGCCGATCGAATCCGTGACTCACTGGGTGAGAAATCTCCACTATCCAGGTCCACAAAATTCTAGATAGATGACCACGTCCGACTGGTGAAGCAGAAACGATATTTCGAGAAAGGATACACTCCGAACTGGACCGAGGAGGTATTCAGGATCACCAATATTCTCCCGACCAGACCCACTACATACTCTGTCAAGGACCTCGATGGTGAATCCGTTGACGGGTCGTTCTATGAACAAGAGCTCCAGAAAACTACTCAAGAAATCTACCGGATCGAGAAAGTGCTCCGAAAGGACAACAAGAAGAAAGAAGCCCTTGTGAGGTGGAAAGGCTACTCGGCAAGATTCGACAGCTGGGTCCCGTTTGATCAACTCAGCTGGTTGTGAAAAAGCTCCGACTCCGAAACTGAAAAATATGTGAGCTCTGAAAAAGCTCCGACTCGGAAACTGAAAAATATGTGAGCTCTGAAAAAGCTCCGACTCGGAAACTGAAAAATATGTGAGCTCTGAAAAAGCTCCGACTCGGAAACTGAAAAATATGTGAGCTCTGAAAAAGCTCCGACTCCGAAACTGAAAAATATGTGAGCTCTGAAAAAGCTCCGACTCGGACTGGGTCCCGTTTGATCAACTCAGCTGGTTGTGATCACGGATCACAGCAGCAGATTTGTTTTTTACTTTTGAAGTAGACAAAAAATCAAGAAATCGAGAGTCACGGGTTCGAATCCCGGAAACTGAGACCACATGCCACAATGCGTATGTCTGAATCCTGTTTCACAACAAGAAACTGAAACCACATGCCACAATGCGCATGTCTGAATCCTGTTTCACAACAAGAAACTGCGACCACATGCCACAATGCGCATGTCTGAATCCTGTTTCACGAAACTGAGACCACATGCCACAATGCGTATGTCTGAATCCTGTTTCTGAGAACACATGAACACATGCCAATGATCTGATCAGAGCATGTCTTGTGGAAAAAAAGAGAGAAGAGATAAAAAGAAGAGAAGAGAAAAAAGAAGAGAAAAAAACAAAACCGAGACTCGAACCCACGATCTTGTGACTCGAATCCACGGTCAGATCTATCCTTTATTAGAGGGTAGTGATCATACAGTAATGCCATCACTGATCGAAAAATCCTTGTGTAGTGTAAAGATGGATTTTGACCTGAGCAAACTCACTATCACCTATGATGGGAAGAAACTCAAGACTGAGAAACAACTCCGGTGGATTCACAAAAAATTAGAGCAAAGAAAGAATCGGGAACTTCTCAAGAAACGGATTCGGAAGAATCGGAAGAATCGAAAGAGGAAACCGATTGTCACACCACCGTTCACAGTCTCAAAGTCAGTACCCAAAGGGATTCTGAAATCGTTCATCTATGAACCGAAAGAGAATCATCCAGATCTGTATATATTCTTTGATAGTATCAACATCCTACTGAGAACATTGATACAGAAAGAACTGAAAAATCTGAAGGGTGTGAAAGTCAGTCTGACATTACAAGTAGAAATGAGGGACGGAGATGACATAACAACCACAGACACACCATACTTCAGGAGTGGACCAATGACAGTCACAACATGTCATGAGATTGATGACGGTATTCGAACGGCACACACACAAATTCATAGAAATATCGATAAGTGGATACAGAATGGATCAAACTGGCACATCAATCATATCGTCGGATTTTACGTTGATGTAGCAGCATATCAGCCAATGAGAGGTAAATCCTACATTGATTTACCAAACGAGCTCAAGAAAAAGAAGGCAATCATCAATGTCAAGAATAAGGATTATAAATGTCTGATGTGGGCACTGCTCTCAGCTCTGTATCCAGCAAAGAAAAATAGTGACAGGGTAACTCAGTATACAGACTATAGCAACCAACTTGATCTGTTCGGAATCGATTTTCCAACACCACTGAGTCAAATTTCCAAAGTCGAGAAGCAAAACAGCCTAGCTATCAATGTCTTTGGGTATGAAGATAACGTGATCTATCCACTACTGCTGACAAAGAAAAGAGGTGAGGAAGTGATCAATCTTCTACTATACCAAAAAGAAGATCAGAATCACTACTGTTGGATCAAAGATTTCAGCAGATTGTGCTACGATCAGTCAAAGCATAAAGCCAGGAAATTCTTCTGTACAAGATGTCTCCAACCACACAACACAGAGAAATCCCTGAGCAATCATCAGGAGTATTGTGATAATGTCACTGGATTATCAGCACACATGGTACTACCAGAACCAGAGGAAGATGGAAATCTACCAACACTGAAGTTCATTAATCATCACAAAATGCTACAATGTCCCTATGTAATCTATGCTGACACTGAGGCACTGATCAAGAAAATTGATGGAGTGAAAAGCCAACAAACCAGCCGGGATTCACAGCATGTTCCTTCTGGTTTTGGTTACGTCGGGGTGCGTTCTGACGGAATGATGACAAGTCAGAGTTTCTATCGAGGTGCTGATGCCATGGATGTATTCTTTGATAAACTCAATGCTGAGGAGAAGAAAATCCAATCAGCACTCAATAATCCAGCACCGATGGATCTCACTACGGATCAAGAAAAATTGTTCAAAGAGACAGAAGACTGTTGGATTTGTAAAAAGAAACTTGGTGATGACAGAGTCCGTGATCACGACCACATCACTGGTGATTTCCGCGGTGCCGCACACAATGACTGTAACATCAAACTCAGAATTTATCCATACAAGCAGCACATCCCTGTGGTTTTTCACAACCTGAAAGGCTATGACAGTCATCATCTCATCGGAGCAATCGGAAAGACAGATGTTGAGACCGTCACATACACGAATAAGGATGGTGTGTGTAAGAGTAAAACTGTGGGTGAGATATCAGTCATTCCCAACAACATGGAGAAATTCATCTCATTCACATGGAGACAATTCCGGTTCATCGACAGCTGCCAGTTTCTCAATGCGTCACTCAATAGACTGGTGAAAACGACACCAGATGAGTCATTCACTCACACCAAGACGTTGTCAAACCATCAGCTGTTGATGAGGAAAGGGATATACCCTATGAATACATGAACAGCTTCTCCAGGTTCGATGAGACTCAGCTACCAGCACAGAGTAGGTTCTATTCTTCACTGTCTGATGAGGGGGTGAGTGGCGATGACTACAAACATGCTGAGACAATGTGGATGAAATTCGACTGTCAGACTATTGGTGATTATCACGACTTGTATCTCAAGACCGACGTGTATCTCTTGGCTGACATCTTTGAGAATTTCAGAGTAGAAGCTTTCAGAACGTATCAGCTGGATCCAGCAAATTACTACACTCTTCCTGGATTTGCCTGGGATGCTCTGTTAATGTACTCAGGTGTGTCCTTGGAATTACTAACAGACTATGATCAGCACTTGTTTGTAGAATCAGGAATGAGAGGCGGTGTGTCAATTGTCTCACAACGATATGCTGCTGATAATAATCACTATCAGGAGAAATTTGATGTTGATCAGCCATCGACATTTATACAGTATCTCGATGTCAACAATCTCTATGGTTGGGCAATGTCACAGCATCTCCCAGTGTCTGATTTTCGGTGGGAGAAACCATCAGAGAAACTCCTGAACAAGATACTGAATACTCAAGATGATTCCGGTATATCGTCGAGTGTGATCTGGAATACCCACACAAACTTCATGAGGAGCACAACGATTATCCCGTTGCTCCGGAACGTCTTTCCGTCAATGAGGACATGCTATCTCCATACCAGCAGGAGCTTGTTGATAAACTCAATTCTTCCGGAGTAGATGCTCTCAAACTTGTACCAAACTTAAGGGACAAGACAAAGTACGTTCTCCATTATCGAAAGTTGAAACTCTACACTCAGCTCGGACTACGTTGTGTCAAAATCCATCGTGCTCTGACATTTACTCAGACACCGTGGATGAGAAACTACATCGAGAAGAATACAGACCTCCGGAAGAAGGCAAAGGATGATTTTCTCTAAGGATTTCTATAAACTGATGAACAATGCGGTGTTTGGGAAAACTATGGAGAACGTTCGGAGGAGAGTCAACATAAAATTGTTGAGAAGTCGTGAGGAGAAGAAAATCAAACAGCTTGTTGCCAAACCAACGTACAACCGCCATGTGATCTTCAACGATGACCTGGTTGGGGTACAAAGCAACAGGACAAAGGTCGTCCTCAACAAGCCCATATATGTTGGGATGTCGATTTTGGATCTCTCAAAGACACTCCTCATGTATGACTTTTACTACAATCACCTGAAAGTGATGTATGGCTCTGATGTGAGACTCTTGTACACCGATACAGACAGCTTGGTTCTTCATTTCTTTACTGATAATCTGTTTGATGACATAAGTGAGTTTCTTGAGAAGTATGATACAAGCAATTATGATCAATCACATCCGTTATATTCCGAGAATAACAGGAAATTGTTGGCCTGTTCAAAGATGAACTCGGTGGGAAACTGATAACTGAGTTTGCGGGACTTCGTTCCAAGATGTACAGTTACTCTGGTGAGGAAAGCGGAAAAAGAGCAAAGGGGGTGAAAACAGCAGTGCTCAAGAAAACTATCACACATGATGATTTCCGAACTTGTCTCTTGGATCAATCCGTGTTCCATCGAGAAATGACAACACTCCGGAGTCATAGACACGTCATTTTCGGAGAAACGGTTAATAAGATAGCCTTATCACCATTGGACACAAAACGATACATCACAGAAGATGGATGTAACACGTTAGCGTTCGGACACCATGAAATACCAAGATATCTGGCGGAGGAGGGGTTTTATAGCAGCATTTCATTCCTGAGTTATGCTCCGGATATGATGAAGCAGTTTGTCCAGTGATCATCAGAAAGAAAAAAAAGGAAAAAGAAAGAAAGACATTTTTTTAATTTTTCTTACACATTCGATTTTCTATAATCCTCCCATATAGCATCAAGTCTTTGTTGTGACGTTTTACACTTTGGAATGAATGGTTGGATCTTGATCACATCATCTTCATCATCAATGAGTTTCGAAAGTAGGAATGGATAACTCACTTTGACTTTTTTCTCTTTATTTGCTGCTTCCTTGATCCTCTGAATTTTATCAACAAGATTGTTGAATGAGGTTTTGCTAAGATATTTTGGTAAACCAACCTTGTTCAGGGTTATCTCCAACCTTGTTTCGATTCCTGTTCTGGTTTTGGATTTTTCTATTTCTTCGAAGAAAGATGTGGTATCATACAGATCATTTTTCTTCATCTCATACACCTCAAGATCCTCTGGAGTTACTTTCCAAAATCATCAATTCTATATCTGTAGGAAACCATTCCTGGTTTCTATAGTCAATGTAGTCCGCTATCATCTTATCTTTCCTGGTAGAGTGTTCATCATCTATCCATGTATCCATCATTTCTTCTTCTTTGTTTGTGGAGTAGTCGTCGTCAAACCAGGCATCCATGATTTCACTTCTAAAAAATATATTTTTTGCGTTTGTTTTTGTGGATTGTTTGACTATTTTACAAATCGTTTGCTGAGATTTTCACTTCTTCTTTCTGGAAATGCTTTATAGCAACAACAAGTTTGAGACTGAGAGTGTCATCGGTCTTGTCTTTGTAAACCCACTTCAGGTGAACGATACCATTGACGGTGTCACCTTGCTTGATCTTGTTGGTTTTTGATGGTTTGTTGTCCTCATCAAAGATTGTACAATCAGGAGAAATTTGGAGAAACAGGATTGGGTGCTCACATTCTGCTTCTAACCACATTTCCTTCGGATTCTATCTGCTTCTCGATCCGACGGATGGATTTACAAATGTCACTGTCAGTAGAAAATTTCAGAGAGTCCTCTTGTCCTTTCTTCACAACATCCATGATATTTGTCTCATCAGTGAATTTTATGTATGGTTCCTTACCATTGATTGTCAGTGAACCACATTTATTCCCATCCTTGATGATGATTCGATAATCAATGAAGTCATTGAGAACAGTAGCTGTGTCAAACGGAGTAGGTTTCTTGCTTGCCATCTTGGAAAGTTTGTGTAGAATCGTTGGTTATACCTATGGCAACCGTTCCTCTAATACAGAATAATTAGGAATCCTCATCCAAAGCTGAACCACCCGAAGTTGGCTAAGAAAAACGATCCCACATCAGTCCTCGAAGTGAGCCAAGATGGGGTAAGTGAAAAAGCTGAAGTTGGCTCACTTTCGATTTTCTCGGAGGCAGCAAGTTGACTCACTTTTCTGGAACTAGGTTGAGCCAACATGGGATCAGTGGTTGGAGTTGTAAAATTAGTACTTGGAGGTGTAAAATTAGTACTTGGAGTTGTAAAATTAGTACTTGGCTGGATATCCTTTAGTACAGTAGTATAGGGGAGGAGGGAGACTTGGGAGGGAGGCCCGAAGGTCCGATCGAGAAAGTCGATTTTGGCTCACCTGGAAGGTGAGCCAGAACCCCCTCCCCCTATACTACTGCTGGTGAGTAAATACCGCGTTTTACACCAAAAGTCAAACTGCGACAATTTCGATGACGCGGAGGAAGTAGACAAAAGATATCATACTAAGTCCATATTCTTCGTGTTCCGTTGCATCCACAATATCTGCAGTTCACTCCTCTCTGACATGTTCTCCCTTCGCCGTGACTGTGCTCACACAGATAGATTAACCCGCGGGCACGTCAATTATTCTCTTTCCTTACCCATTCTGCAAGCTCAAGCTGGATACAGATCTATTTCATTCCTTGGTGCTGACCGCTTTAATGCGCTTCCCGAATCCCTTCGCACAAATCATATCCCCAATTCATTTCGCCAGGAACTTAACAAATATTTCATTCATCTTGGGCACCCTGTAAGAAGACCTTAGGGTCTGTTGGGAATGCCCAAGTAAAATAAAGAAATACAATACCGTACAATCAAAGACGGCTGGCCACAATGCATATTCAAATAGGGCTTTCAAATACAAGATCATAACGTGAAGCAACTTGGAAGAATTAGTATGAATGCGAAGTGAATCGGGGGGTGCATGCAGGGCGATAGTGCGGGTTCGAATCCCAGGTTATGTGTAAAACAAAAAGTAGAAATTTGTAAGATTTATAACATCCCTATGCTTTTTTGGTCATCAAGTCATCAAGGCAAAAAACATAGCGTAGGGCCCTGAGCTTCCAAGCTCTCTCGTTGACCCAGTAGAGTGTACCTAGTCCCAGTGTTAGTGATGTATTGAGCTAGTATTGTGACACTGTACTGTTGTGTTTGCTCATGCAGGTCAAGTTGTCGGTCTAAGTGCTGGTTTTACAAGACAACCCTCACTACCATTCCGTGTGACATTTGGTGATGGACAACCTACAGCCGATGTTACCAGTTACTTACCTGAATGTGTTGTGGGCAGCTCCGGAGGATCAGGACCATTCATTCGACTAGAGAAGACTGATGGTAGTCTAGTGTTGGCTGAGATAGGTGCCTTCTCAGGATTTACTGGTGTACCAGTAAACATCACAGCACATCCTATACTGGACACATCATACACTGGACTGTACCATTGTACAAGAGGTACATCCAACTCTACACAGACATATCAACTCAACATTGTAGGTAAGTACAAATGGACTTCTTCATCCTGTGGAGTAATGTCTAGTGTTGGCTGAGATAGGTGCCTTCTCAGGAGGTACTTTTTTTACATGAGAACATCAGAGCACATCCTATACTGGCCACCTCATACACGGGACTGTACCAGTACAGAATGCTACAGCCAACTCCACTCAGACCTTTCAACTCAACATCGTATGTAAGTACAAACCGGCTTCTTTCTTCTGACGCCTGCAAGGTGAAGGCAAATAGAGCAGTGATATAATACGAGGTACCCGAGCAACAGAAAGCCTCCTCCATGAGCACCAAGTTGCATATGACGCAAGCTACGTATCAGACGAGTTACGGGACTCTTGGTTGCAATAAGACGCAAGGAATATAATGTTTAGAAAAGCACGCTGTATAACATTTATCCATGCTGAAGTCAACAATGAACCGTTTAAGATCTGATTTCCCTCTCTTGAGATCATTGTTGTCAATTGCCATTTTGAGCAAAGATCCAATAATGATACAAGGATTGTACGAAGCATCCGAATACACTAAAAACCTAACACCAGGCGCACAACGCGAAAAAGTTCGACGTGGAGATCGACATTAGAGAGTTAATGCTTCACGTGGTTCAAGTTTCGTATGTGACAAAAAAACCTGCGTTGAATCGCTTTCTTCGCCCTGAGTTGGCCCACTGTCGAGTTGAAATCCGACTTTGCAACGTGAGATGCGCCATTTTGACCGTGCGATCTCACGTTCGAAATTGAAAAAGGTGAAGCGTAAACTCTCTAATAAACAAGTAAAAGAATGATCGAACAACCGCCGAAGACACCAATGATTAGAGAGGCAATTTCAAATGAGAGAAACAAGTGACAACAATCAAAGGAAAAGAGAGCCAAAGGGTCAGAAAGAACGCAGGTGACTAGGGCCGACAGCAACTGGCAGCGGTAAGCATAAGAAGTAAAAATATGTTCCAACTGCACAACATACGTTCAAAGCAAACAGTACATGTACATAGGAATGAATTTGCTCCCACACTGGAGCTCGTGCTATTCCGCCGACTTGACTTGACACTTGTCTGACTCACCACTGCCATCCAGAGCACACGAGAAGTCCATTGAACCTTCGACTCGCCAAACCTGCAAGAAGGCGTGACGTCGTCAGTTTACAAGTCGGATGCAGTTTTTGACGCTCATTTGTAGTGTGTTTTTTCCTTAATCGTTTTGCCTGCCAATTTCATATGTCATAAGTCCAGTCTATCAGGAATCAAGAAATGAACAACGAGGAAACGTTTCCGGTCTGGAAAGATGTGCCTGCTGAACAGCTGAAGCAGAACTCCGTGAAGTTTGTCTGCCCCCGGAACATCAAAATCTTGGATGTGGCTGAGGCGATCGCGGCCTCCGGCTATGATGACCTCCTATCGGTACAGATAAGTGCAAATAGTCGATGCATTGTAACTTTCCTGTCCAACGAGAGTGCGATGGCCATGGCAGATCACGGCATTGAGTTGGACGGAACCGCCATTCTTGTCCATTTTTTCACGGAACCCCTGGTTGAAATCAGAGTCTTGGATGCACCAATCTGGGTCTCTGACCAAGATCTCATTGTCGGTTTGGCGGGGTACGGGACATGCGCAGGCACGCAGGGAGTACGGCATGGGCACATTGTCACGAAATCTGGCTTGAGAGTTGCTACGGGTATACGACATTTGACCTTCAAGCTAAACAAGGGCACCCACATCCCGTCCGTCATAAAAACCCAGGGCGGGCTGACTGTACGCGTACGCTACGATGGCCAGGTGCGTACTTGCAATGTGTGCAACAACCCTGACCACCTCGCAGCACAATGCCCAAATAAGGGCATAAACGCACGTGCACCACCCCGTACAGGGCGAGCCCCACCACCACCAGCTGGGGAGGCGTGCAGTCAAGGCCCGTCTGGCAGCACGGAGGTAGTTGAGACATCCACGACATGCACACCGCCACCAGCTGGGGAGGCGTGCAGTCAAGGCCCGTCTGCCAGCACGGAGGTAGTTGTAGCTGTACCACCACCAAACACGTACAGTCAAGCCCTGCAAAGTCCAACCGCACGCGCACCACCCGCCAGCACTGAGGTACCACCACCAAACACGTACAGTCAAGCCCTGCAAAGTCCAACCGCACGCGCACCACCTGCCAGCACTGAGGTGGTCGCAGCCGCAGTACCGCACACAAGCTTGACCCCAGCGAAGCCAGCAGCGTCGCCAGCCGCCAACACAGTCGCCTGCACCCCAGTCACGCCGACGACTGCTCTGGCCACCTCCAGGGGGAAAACCACACACCCATCACCGGACACTGAAGACGATGGCTTTACTCCAATGAAGAGGGGAAAGAACTCCTTTCGCCCAGGTAACAGTGCCACCTCGGAATGCCAGAACAACGACACAGACCCACAGGTCACGTGGGCTAACGAAGCCAGTGCGAAAGAGGTCGAAAACCTCCTCAAGCGGATCCGCAGACGCAAGGGCAGCTTCTAACCGGTCTACAGCCACAGGCGTGCAGCCACCACTCTCCCCTCCTCCTCCATCAAACACTTGTAAGTTACCCCACACTAGCCTTAATGTAGGAACCCTCAACATTTGCAGCCTCAGGAACAAAGTTGAAGAAGTCCACCACGTTTTGCATAATTTTAACCTAGATGTATTAGCCATTACTGAAACTTGGCTCAATAACACTATAAGCGATGCCCTAGTTGCAATACCTGGCTACTCTATACTTAGATCTGACAGGACTAGCCAGCAAGGTGGAGGAGTATGTTTTTATGTCAGGCACTCACTCACTGTCACTGCCATCACCTTCCCAAATCCAAACCAGCTTGAAGTCTTGTGCATTGTGGTGCAGACCACAAAAACTGACCAGCTTACACTGACCTGTGTCTACAGGCCCCCAAACAACACTGTGGGCTTTTGGCAGCTTCTTACCGATACCGCCGATCATCTCTACAACCCACGTGCACCGATGATTGTTCTGGGTGACCTAAACTGTGACACACTGCGAACACCACCCACATCCCACCTTCACCATTTCAAAGAGTTCTGCAGCTCACTTCACCTTGAGAACATAATCTCCTCTCCCACACGATTCCCCAGCCAATCATGTCTAGACGTTGTACTGGTCGATCAACAGTTGCTAGGTCGTGCGCCAGGCAGTTCCAGAGCTTTCATCTGGAACCAAGCTGTACATCCCGTAGTAGACGTCAGTGATCATCACCTTGTAACGTTCTCCTACAGCGCCCCTGGTAGAGCTTCATCACCCGCAACTACAGGGATACGACATATCCGCCGACCGCCTCTGTCTTCAATCAGCCCTGATATGCTGAAAACCGAAATCGCAAAGAATGTGGCCGAATCGACGAGCGGCACCTTCCAATCGCTGGATGAATCAGCATCAGCGTTTCGCGACAGCGTCCTGTTGGCCGTAAACACGCTGTGTCCACTACGGCCCTGTCGCAGTCAGAAATCACGGAAACCTAAGCCATCCCCGTGGTGTACACCAGCGCTAACAAATCTCTTCCACCGTCGCAAACATCTTCACCGCGGGGTTATGAGAAACCCGACTGACACCCAGCTCTTGCAACTGTACCGTGCAGCAAGAAGAGAAGGCACGCTGCTTAACAAACGTCTAAAGAATCAATATTTAGTAAGGGAGTTCTCAGACTGCCGAAATGATCCTCGCCGCCAATGGAAACTGCTCAACAAACTCCTTGGTCGGAACACCACTCCAACACCTCTCAAAGCCGACGTTTCCAGCCTCACCAACTTCTTTGGATCGGTCGTCTCTGACCCAGAGCGACCCCCTTCCCTGCAAATCCCCCAAGGCCCCCGACAGCTCACCAGTTTCGCAAATTTCACCCCTGTCACTACCACTGAAGTCTGCAAGCTCCTCAAGAAGATCTCCCCTTTCAAATCCACCGGATCCGACGAACTCCCACCCCTTCCTCTGAAGATCTGTGCAGAAGAACTAGCCGGTCCCCTCTGTCTCATTTTCAACGAATCACTCTCCCTCGGTTCCTTTCCAGACATATATAAAGTAGCGTCTGTATTCCCCCTCTTCAAGAAAGGCAATCCAGAATGTCCCTCTAACTATCGCCCCATATCTCTACTCCCCATCGTATCCAAGCTTCTAGAAAAGATCGTCCTTCATCAACTGCAGCGCTATATCAACACCCACCCAGAGCTCAACATTCTTCCTCCCCAACAGTTCGCCTACCGCTCTGATCATTCCACAGAGGATGCACTTTCACTGGCTATATCAAAGTGGCAACAACGCTTGGATGACGGTCAGAACACCGGAGTGTTATTCTTGGACATGAGCAAGGCGTTCGACCGGGTCAAGCACCAGCCACTCATCAACGAGCTCTACTCCTGCGGTATTTGTGGCACAGCACTGTCTTGGTTCGCCTCCTATCTAAGCGCTCGTCGACAGACAGTGACGAACCCCTCCACAAAAACATCCGGCGACTCCGTGACCTGTAGTCGAGGGGTACCTCAAGGCTCTGTCCTGGGCCCCGTTCTTTTCACAATCTACACAAGACACGTAACAGACGTCACACCAACTCACACATCTAACATACTCTACGCCGACGATATAGGACTCTACACATCGAGCAGTTGCATCAACACGATACAGGACCGACTATCAGAGAGCTTCGATGCGGTTAAATCACACCTCACGGAACTGGGCCTCCTACTGAACCCCGACAAAACTCAACTATTAATCGTCCGCCGGAAGACAACCCCATTTCCACCTACCTTCACTGTCATCTGTGGTAACTTCCCAGTATCCCCTTCCCAGTGTGTCCGTTACCTTGGAGTGCTAGTCGACCAGCACCTTGCCTTCAAGGAGCAGGTCGGGAAAGTTGTTGCTGACGTCAACCGTAAGCTGGCCGCATTCCGCAGAATACGACATCACATCACCACCCAGGCACAACGTTCCTTTTACCTAAGCATTATCCAATCCACCATGGAGTACGCCAGCAAC